CCCATTCTGTAGGTTGCCCTTTCATTTTGTTGATGGTTTTTGTTTTGCCGTGCAGAAGCTTTTTAGTTTGGTTTGATTGAGTCCCGCTTGTTTATTTTTGCTTTTGTTCCTTGTGCTTTTCATGTCATACCCAAAAAAATCATTGCCAGTGTTTTATTCTTAAAAGGATTTTCTAACAGGCTGATGCCTCTTCCTTATCTCTAAATTGTCTCTTCCTTCTGAGGTATATTTTATCATTTTATATTACCTCAGGACCAAAAATATTATTATTTTTTTCTTAAGATGAACTTTTAATTAATTGACTGATTATTTTTATTTTTTTATACTAGAAAGGCACATATTCAAAGAGTGAAATAATTCTATTGGGTTTATTATACTCCTCCCCGAAATAACAGTCCTTAGTACCTCTTACTGTATTTCTTCTGTTTCAGAAGCAACCACTTTCACCTGTTTTATGTAGCTAATTATCTGATATATATATGTCCATGTTGTTCAGTAAGATGCATGATTGTTCAGGGTTGATCTTCCCACTACGGCAGATAAGGATTTAGCTCTCTCCACCCTACCATCACACACATACCCCCTGCCCCAAATCCTATCTTCCTGATATAATTAATATCATAACCTTGATTAGAACAGTATTCTTTATTTATATTATTATATCTATGCTATTAAAAGCTGAGTCTTGTACAACTTTGATTACATTATTCTGTACAACGTGTTTGTTTTTCATGGGGTTAATCATTGTGTTATTGTTTGTTTTTCCTACTTGCTTGGTTTTTCTAAGTATTTACCAACCCCAGAGGCTTTGAAAGTTGTTTAAATCTGCTAAAATGCTCAAATACATCAAGTTTTCTATCGGTTTTCTCCTCCTGAAGCAGTCTCTCTCCCGGCTCTGGAAGGTGCTCAGAAAAGCGGCGTTGCTCTCTCTCTGGGCATATAGCTGGCTCTGGGGATCGCCCTTCTCCATTATTCTACAGTTTCTCTTTGCTTCTCTCTTGTATTGGCTTGTCTGCCTTCCTCTTGGTTTACTATATCTTTTTGAAGCATATTTTACATACTTAAGTAGCTTCCAGAGAATAGAATACGTGGGAGGTGAATTTTTTGTGAAACTGCATGTCAGAAAATGTCCTTATTATATGTGATTTTTCCCCCCCTCTTTTTGGAAGCTTGTGGAATCTTGTCTTTGTCCTTAGGGTTCTAAATTTCATAACGATATATTTTGATGTGGACTGGTTTGTATCCAGTGTCCTGGGTGTTATGTGCCCTCTGAAGTTGGAAGCTCATGGCCCCTTAAATGTGGGGAAATTTCCTCAATTTTTTTAACTGATGCTTTTCCCCCTTCTGTTTTCTCTGTTGTCTTTTTCTGAAACTTCTATTACTTGGATATTGGACCTGCTGAGAGGGTTTCTATTTTTCCCTCTTTTTTTTCCCTTTTGCTCCACTTCCTGAGAGACTTCTCCAGCTTCATATTCCATCTCACACCTTTATTGAGTTTTTCTTTTTCTTCTATCATGTGTTTCATTCTCTTTACTTTGGAATGCTCCTTTTTTATATTATACTATTCTTATTTCAGTAGGCAATACTCAGCTCTTAGTGGGTATGTTTGGTGTTCTTTGAAGTTCTCTTCTCCTTGTATGACCATTGACCTTCAACTTGCTTGTTTCTGTTTGTTTTGGTCTCTCAGTGTCACAGCAGGGGCTTTCTAGAGGTCCTGGAGGTACTTGATTTGTTTGCAGGCATTTAGGAACGGGGACTAAAATGCTGATTGGAAGCTCTGAGAGCCTGTGTAGGGCTTCTCAACCATGAGCTTCACCATAGGCTAATCATAGGACACCTCCCACGTGAGTCTCGTTAGTTGTCTGCTCTTGGGCTGTTTAGCGTTTTTTTCATTCGTCTGCCTGGAGGGTAAAAGCCTGATTGCCTGCATTCTGGGAACCAACTAAGAGAAGATGGCTGGTGGTCTCAGCATCTGATATGCATATGTTCATTTAATCCCATTCATTTGCCCTCAACTGTGCTGTTTTCCCCCTCCTCCCCCTCACACCGCCCCCAGTCTAGAGGCCTTCTCTCTTACTCTCTGTATAAAATGAATCTCCAGTTATTTATTGGGGCTTTGGGGGATGGGGAAATAGCCCATGTTAGGGGTAGAGTTACTTAAAAATAAAAATACATTAAAAAAAAAAATCCCTTTACTATCCTTCATTTGGGTTTGGGGAGGAAACAAACGTAGCCTCCTGTGTGCAGCCTTCCATTTGTACCTAAAAGCCTCACCATTGCTGTTTATTTACTGATGCCCAAGTGATTGAAGCTTTTAAAAGTGATATTCAGTGGCCCATGGTAAATGCTACAAAGTATCCTTCAGAGAAAGAATGACCAGACCACAGCCCTTTGATTAAGAGAATTCGGTTAGTCAACATTTTTCTTTTAAACCGGGGCTGTTCAGAAGATTTAGTTCCTCACCCACAACTCCTTTCCCCTTCTTTCATCTGCACCCTCCCCACCAGCCTCTCATTGTGTTGCCCCGTCCAAATTGAACTTCCTGTGGGGTGACCTTGGGGAAGCGTCAGGTTGCAGAGGATGAGGTAGTGAAGGGAAGGTGAAAAAAACGAGGGAGGTGGGCTCAGGGCAGCACGTCGTGTGGGATCCATGCCATGCTTTTATCCAGACTGCTGTGACTGTCTCTGCCCCCTTCTTACTGGCTGGGGGTCAGAGCCACAGTGCTCTTTAAAGCCATGCTTCTTTTAAGCTCAGTAAAACTACACACATCACTGGACTGGCTCAAACATCACTGGATTTGGTTATCTCTTTAAAGAGGAGCGTGCCTTCAGCTTCTTAGCTGTGGAGAGAGTGATGTGAAGCGTGGCCGCTGTGACTCCAGAAACAGGATGACCTTACAAGCAAGCTGGAGAGCATGGTTTACGGTAGTTCTGAGCCTGCCCTTCTATATTCCTTCTTTAAATATCTCCTCTAGTGACTTCAAAACTTGATGTCATGTCATATGTATTCAAACTTGATATCATATGTTTCCCCCTTATGTTTAAATCTTTGTTTCCTATTTAAAATTTTGTTTCTCTCTCTCTTTTTTTTTAATCTTTCAACAAGTATTTATTGAGCAGCCATATCTGCCGCATCCTGGGATCGACACAGTCCCTGTCCTCATGGGCTTAGGTCCTGGCAGAGGCCCAGTGGAAAGCCTTGGGCTGGTGGGATGGGGCAGTGGGAGGTGCAAAGGGCGACAGATGCTTTCCTCGTTTTGGGCAAAGAGGCCTGGGGATGTGAGGAGCCGTGGCCCGAATCTCAGTCATGCCCTTTCCAGGGAAGAGGGCTGACGTCTCCCTGCTGAGTCAATGTAGCCATTAAAATTTTGTTTTTTCTTGGAGGAGTTCTGTAATGTATTTCTTTGGATCTAAGTTGGTAGAATTTCAGGGGATAATAAATAATGACCCCTCCACCTTCCTGAGTTCAAAATTAGTTGAGAGACAAAGAAGACAAGCATAGGGCGATAAAAATCTAACCTTTATTATTGATTTTTACCAGTAAAACAAATTGAAAAAGGCCATGTTAGGTCTGCTGACCAGTATGGGCATGTTACTATTTCGACCCTGTGTTTGACATCTTATCCACTCACTGACCAAATTGGACAATCATAGGCCACTCCATGAGTATCTGACCATCTAAAATCTTTAACAAGACTGAGAGGACTAGCTCCTGCAAAGGAGTTAGTAAGGGGCTGAAAGAGAGGCTAGAGGTATTCGTGTAATGGAAGTTCCCTCCATGGAACATGAGAAGAGGAGAAGTGTGTTCCATACATGAGGTGATATCAATTTCCCTGAAGGCACACCATCAATTTATAGCAGATGCTCAGGAAAAAAAAAATACTGTATTAGATCAGGTTGTATGACACATCAGATTTCAGAAACATTAAAAGCATTTTGCCATCTTAGAAGTCAGGAAGGATGGTGTTATAAGCTATCAATCATTTGTTCTTTCGGTAAACACCTTCACTACGTTTGGCCTGAGTGGTGTGCACACCCTCAGCTGGGGCAGGGAGCCCCTGCTGAAATTCCAGGCCTGTTACAAACTAGCTGGGAGTCCTTGACTCCCCTGAACCTCTCTAGGCCTGGTTTTCATCTGCTCAGTGAGGAATGGGGGACCAGCCCAATACATGAACAGATAAAAAGGATGAGGGATAAACCTAAGCTTCCACAGCTAATTAGTTTCAGAGTTGGAACTAAAACCCAAGTATCTTCCTTCCCTAGTCTCATTGTTCTCTAGCATATCCAGTTCAGACTGATTCTTAAATTGAATGCATACAAAACAGTTTAGCACCACAGAAGCGATCATTCATTTGTTCATTCATTCATTTATTTATTCATTCAACAGAACATATTTTTTTGTGCCAAATACTGTGCTAGGCAATAAGTATGAAGAAAACATGTTCTTGGGGCACCTGGGTGGCTCAGTCGGTTAAGCGTCTGCCTTTGGCTCAGGTCATGATCCCAGGATCCTGGGATCAAGTCCCACATCGGGCTCAGCAAGGAGCCTCCTTCTCCCTCTCCCTCTGCCTGCAGCTTCCCCTGCTTGTGCTCTCTCTCTCTCTCTCTCTCTCAAATAAATAAATAAATAAAATCTTAAAAAAGAGAAAACACATTCTTGTCTCTATAACAGCATGCAGCCTGTGTCCTTACGTGTTTGCAGCCCTTATGTGACCACCTCAAGTATAACCCTTTACTTATAGCCTCACTTGAAGCTCTTCAAACTGATCCCAGGTCTTCAAGGAGATACAGACCTCCTTGGCTGCCCTGAAACCGTCAGCACTCTGTGCTCTCCCCGAGACCTACAGTGATGCCCCCGCGGTAGATATGTCCCACCCCCAAGAATAGCTCGTACCATCTTAGCACACAAGTTCTTCAAGCGCCTAAAGAGAAAAACTACAGAGTGAGGTCCAGAACCCTGCACTGGCCTCATTATGGTTGTTTCTCTCCTTCTGTTTCTAGGGTGCGCAAGCTGGCATTACTATGTAACCATGCCGATGCCAGCCTCCACCTTCACGATTGCAGTGGGCTCCTGGACAGAAATGAAGCCAGAGCCCTGCTTGTTCAAGGATCTGGCAGCAGAGAGAGCCCTCTCACCTTCCGAGGCTGACTTCAGGTTGGTATTTGGGAGCTTGCTGAAAAACAAACACTTAAGGGAGCAGTATGATGCATTTATTCCAAGCACTGGGAATGTGAGTCATCCCTGCTGAGAAGCTAAACCAAAATATGATTAATCAAAGCAGGAAAAACCCTACTGGGAGGGAAAGAGAGTTGGGAGGCAGAGATGTGGGCATATTGTTTATGCAGAAAGAAAGAGAAAAGAAGGATATATGAAGTCCTCTGTGAAGTCAGGTGAAATATTTTTATGTGTTTGGGTACGTCAGCAGAATCCTCAGATTCAACACTTTCCCTCCTATACTTTTTAACTTTGGTTTTCAGTGCTTATTTGGTCAAAAACACAACTTAATTAAAAGGAGTTGCTTGTCTGTTGGATTACTTTGTAGGCCACTCTGCTGTTTAGGTCCCCGGGACTGGTGTTAGCAGTACATTTGTAGGGACAGCCCTCCTTCAATGGGGCTAGTCAGCCTGCTCCAGAGCGCAGGACGCAAGGTAGCTGTTGCAAGGTCATGGGGCTACGAGTAACCTACTGGGTGAGGACTCCATTAAACTTTGGTAGCGATTTCTTCTTTTTTCAGAGTGATCAGAGAAAAATCTGTTTAAAGTTTTTAAAAAGCAGCACGGACCATTGGATATTCACTCACAGCCTCCCCACACGTCCAACTGTTTCTAACTTCGAGAGCCAAAAGGGAGGAGGGGAACCTCCATAGGAGGTACGAAGTGTCCAAATTGTGCATCGTTGCATCATGTTCATTCCTAGGACTTTTACACCCAGTTCAGTTTAATCACTTTTCCTGTTTACACAGAGTCACTAGGTCCAATACCTTCTGGTGGAGAAAGCCCAGAGTAATGGTACAGATGGCTAGTTCATCCTTGAAAACCAACTAAGATATGCTTTTAGCACAAATTCCTTTTGTGCCGATTATATTTTGCCATGTTGCTTTCACTCTTGCTGCAGTGGCGGTTGGTTCTGTGAGGACAGAAAGCCACCAAGCCCTCTCCTATGACAGGCATGTCTTATTGCTTGCGTTTTGCTTTTTGGAGGAAGGGAGGTAGTTTCCACTTCCTGCTTAGTAACTTGCCTATTTTGGACTATCTCCCCTGAGCTATACAGAGTATCCGAGGTTGCTTCTTGGATTTTATTTATGCACACTTGAGGGAAGAGGAGAGTTGTGGACAGAAGTGACACGTGTTACTTTCATGTGGGAATATTTAATTGTATGTGAGACCCTCAAGTGATCCCTTCCCCTGCCACTGAGCTCAGAACAGGCCTCATTTTGCCATTTCGGGTAGCCCAGATTTCTGCGTGGGGAGGACAGGTGCCCTGGAGAGTTACTTGGATCCTCAGTGGACTTGTTACGAGCAAGAAATAAACTTTTTGTTGTTGTTGTTGTTAAGCCACTGAAACACTGGGGATGTTTGTTACTGCAACATATCCTAGCCTATCCTGAATTGATACAGAGGTCACTGGATGTTTGAAGTCAGGGAAAGTCTTGATCTAAATGTCATCTTGGTTAGTCCTGAGAGTAAGCCTATAAGATAGATAGGCTTTATTATCACAATTTTATAGATAAAGATACTGAGGCTTTAGACAGCAATGTGTCCGTGTTCATATCTCTACTGAGTTACAACACCTGGATTCCTATCTGGGCTTGACTCCTTACGGAGGTGATTCAGAATCTTACCTGGGGACATTGGGTTCTTTTTGTTTTTTGTTTTTTATTTTTTAAGATTTATTTATTTATTTTAGAGAGAGAGAGAGAGAGAGAGAGAGAGAGCACAAGCGGGAGGGGCAGAGGGAGAAGGAGAGAGAATCTCAAGCAGACTACACGTGGAGTCTGATGTGGGGCTCGATCCCAGGACCCCGAGATCATGGCCTGAGCCAAAACCAAGAGTCGGACACTTAACTGACTGCGCCACCCAGGTGCCCCTACCTGGGGACTTTTATTTTATTTTATTTTATTTTTAGATTTTATTTATTTATTTGAGAGAGAGAGTGTGAGAGAGAGAGCACATGAGAGGGGGGAGGGTCAGAGGGAGAAGCAGACTCCCTGCTGAGCAGGGAGCCCAATGCGGGACTTGATCCAGAGACTCCAGGATCATGACCTGAGCTGAAGGCAATCGCTTAACCAACTGAGCCACCCAGGCACCCTACCTGGAGACTTTTAAAAACTGTGTATAATGTCCATGCCTCACCTGGAGTCTGATCCACCTTCCTACCTGGAGAGTCAGTACCATGATTGAGTAACTGTTACTGATTGGAATTTGTCATGCTGGTACAGACGACAGAAGTTGAGAGTTCTGCCTTTGAGTGTGAAGGTGCTGTCCGTACTGCTTGGGTAGGGTTCTCGGGGCAAAGCCATTCTTTCCTGCTCTGTGGAATAAAGAGTTTGCTTGGGGTTTTCCAATTCTTCATGGTGAAGAAGCAGCCTCGGGGCTGCTTGACTGTCAGAGGAGATGTGCAGTTGAAATCCGTGTGCCTTAAGGGAAGGCAAAGAAAGAAATGTGTTATTTTGTCCTTCTAGCCATATTCCCAGGGATATGAGGTTGGGGAGCGGGCAGCAACCATTCCTTATGTGTTCCCTGTGTTGCCCAGTGGCCACTGAGGTGGTTTTCACTTTGTTTGCATCCATAATTGTGAAGGAGGCAGCCGTGGCCACTTCATGTGGGCATTCTGGGAAGAGACGGCATCTGAAATTCCAGTTGGGGTTTAGGGGAAGGGGGTCAGTATGACTCTTTTCTTGTCTTTTCAAGTTTACAACCAGCTGTGAAACAGCAGAAGGAGAGCACAGGAAAGGTTTTCATAATTGGCCTGAACTCAGGACTACTCGGGTGCACGACCTCAGTGGGCTTTCTAATACTCCGTTTCCAAGCCAGACAGACTGGCCCATCCAGTTACCTGCGCAGCTGGACTGCTGCTGGCCTCCGCAGCACAGGTCCACGCAGCCCGCCTCATGGCCAGAAAGTACCCCGACTGTGGGCAAGCAGATTGGAAAAGAGGAAGCCCAAGAGTGGCCAAGCCAATCGGAGCGGCTGGAGCCAGGTCAAAAGTGCCACTCCAGGGAGGCACATCCTCATGTGGGAACGTGAGGCCTGGGGAACGGAGTTCTTCCCACACTCCCTTCCATGTCTGACATGCTATGACGAAGTTTCCCCTTTATTTATCACCATGCTTGTCCATCAGAAATGTACTGCTGATAAAATAATAGCTTGCATTTGCTTAATCCTTCCCTGGCTGCGTGCTTCATGTGTGCTGTCTTTAGTCATCAGAGGGTAGCTTTGTGTTTTTATCCATTAAATCTCTGGCTCCGTGCTCGGTTTGCCAACAAAGGTACTCTGAAGTGCCAACTGCAGTCGTGTTTTTGGTTATGTTCACATCTGGTCCCCTTGCCTTCCCTGCCCCCCTTTTCTACTTCAAACCTTCCCGAGACCACCAGTTCAATTCATGTAAATGTAACTTTTATAGGGGGCCTTATATACCACAGGCTTTCATTTGCCTAAAGTGTTCATCTGGGTCCCAGAAATTTGGCCAAAGTATTGGTCACTGAACTTTTGATCACTATTCATGTGGGCTAAATTATAGGAAGAACATTCCCTCTTCCAGCTCCAATTCCACACGTGCTCCGGCCCACTCTGGGTGAACATTTTGGTAAATACATTAATTAGAAGGCACTTAGGTAAACCATTGTAAGTTTATTAATTTTCCTCGGCTGCAGCATAACTGTCTGCAGCCACAGAGGAATCTTTGTATTATGTTTAACCTCTGGAGGCCTTTGTTAAAGCACTGTCTTCACTTTGGGCCCATACAGTTTAGGCACGACATGGAAACTTGGATAAAGTCCAGAGGAACTCAGCAAAAATGATTAAAAGCATGGAAAATACATACCACGAAGAAGAAAAGGCATTGAGGTTGTTCATCCTAAAGAAGGGATGGCTTGGTGGGAGAAGCGGTCTTTTTAAGAGTTGTGAAGTCTATGGAAAGTGGCCTGTGGACCTTGCAGAATGAGGCCCTATTTCTGTACCTTTGAAAGGCTAGGAAAAAAGGAGTGATAGTCATGGGGGAAAAATACCAATTTCCAGTACACCCTTTGCTATAAGAGAAGCCTTTCCAAATCTTCCTGGCTTGGTGTGATTTCTCCAGCCCTGGCTCCCTGGTGTGGTTCAGCCTTCTGGTTTTTATAGCACATACTGCATTTTGCTTCGTAAAATCCTACAGTGCCCTAAGGAAACCCATCCAGCTTTCAGGCACAACCACATCATCGTATATATTGACATCATTGTCAACAACTCATTGGGGGCCGGTGCTGGCATTTTGAAAACTTGTGATTTTTACGGTATCCGAGCATCTACTCTGCTTGCTAAAATATGTTAATAAATTGTCTAAACATCTTACTGTGTCACTGTACTCATCAGAATTTTAAATTTTTTCTTCCAGCAAAACTGTAAACTCCTCAAAGGTAGGGTTGGAAATTTATTCATATGTCTGTATGCGGCATACCTTTGGGGTGCCTTGAGTAGAGCAAGAATGCAGGAAATAATTACTAAATTGTCGGGTTGAACTGTGAAAAAAGGACATGCATTCCCAGGGGAAACTTCCAGTGATTCCTTTTGAGCCTATGACAGGGAAATGTCTGTGTCAGCTACTTTCAATACATCTCGTTCTTGAAACAAGAGGAGGGCTGAAGGAGAGAACCTCTTTAGGCAATTTCCAATCTTGTGATTCTGAGTAAAACGTGGTCACCCTTCTTCCATGGAGAAACCTCTTGTAAAATTTCAGCCCAGCAATCGTAGGAGAGGGAACCAATGGTCTGGTTCCCATCATTTACCAGCCTAATATTTATTTCACCAGTTCTTCCCACTCTTGGCAATATTAATGGGCAACATTGACAAGGAGGAGCAGGAAACCAGAGAACCACAGAGCAGCTGAGCTCAGCTTCTAGAAAAATCCAGGACCCAAATTTACTCAAGAAGATTAATGCAGTACGCGTGGGGAAGGAAGGTCGAGAGGGAGGAGCTTATGATGACTCACGATGTGATGAAAAGAATAGTTCTTATTCCTTAGGAATGTTGTGTGGATTAATTAGGATAATGCACATGAAGTGTTCAGAACAGTTCTTGGCACATAGTAAATATTCAGTAGCAGTTGTGGGAGGAGTTATTGTTTATTATTCTTCATATCATCAGTGCAGATTATTTATAAATAACAATCAAGCATTATTATTAATCTTAACTATTAAAATATTTACCCTGATTACAAGTGTGGGCACAGGGAAGAGTGATTTGCAAATGCTTGATTCGCTGATGATACTGAGAGTAGGTGGGAGCAGGCACAGATACAGAAATGAACAGCTGAAGGTTAGTGGGAAAGGAAGCATGTTTGAGTTAATTTTGGCTTCATGGAGGACTATTCATGACATTATAAACGTACAATATTCCCTCACCATTTCAGGAACAAGGCTGTTGGCATGAAGAGAGGCGGGGGCCTCATGTGGAGAGTTGCCATAGAATCACAGTGCCAGAAGAAACCTTAGAAACCATTTTTTGGTTTGTTTTTAATTAAAGTATAATTAACATACAATAAAATGCACAGATCTTAAGTGTTTGGCTTGATGAGTTTTTGACCATTGTTTACACCCTAAACTGATATAGAGAACATTCCCACACCCAGTAAATTCCCTCTAATCAATTCCTCCCCTCCCCCTGCAGCCATTTTTGTGAGACCATGTTAGAGACAACGGGAAGGAGCCCCCAGGTACTGAGGGGCTTGCCTCACGTCACAGCCCGTCTGAGAACAGCCACTGAAGCCCAGCTTTCCTGATCCCGATGTCAGAACCTTTGTGTCATCTTCCCTGATGCCACTTCCATTTTTAAAAAAATTTTATTTACTTGTTTATTTGAGAGAGAGATGGAGATCACATGCACGTGAGCAGGGGGAGGGGCAGAGGGAGAGAGAGATCTCAAGCGGACTCCCCACTGATGCCTGATGCTGGGCTCCATCTCATGACCCTGAGATCATGACCTGAGCCTAAACCAGGAGTCTGACGCTTAACTGACTGAGCCACCCAGGTGCCCCAGCCACTTCCATTTTTATTGGGAGCCTTAATGGTCTCACTTACCCATCGCTTGATTGCCTTAAAGTCCTGCATTTTCTTCCAGGCTTTGATTATGAAAAACGGTGCTAATACACACAGCTGGAATAACCTTCATCCCCCTGGCTAGAGCCATTCATGTCCAGAGAGAATTTAACTCACCTTTTCTCTTCAGCAAATTGTGTTTTTTTGTTTTGTTTTGTTTTGTTTTGTTTTTTTTTGAGCATGCGAGCTGGGGAGGGGAGAGGGGCAGAGGGAGAGGGAGGCAGAGGGAGAGAGAGAAAATCCAAACAGGCTCCATGCCCAGTGTGACCATGAGATCATGACCTGAGCTGAAATCAAGAGCCAGATGCTCAACAGACTGAGCCACCCAGGTGCCCCTACAAATTGGCTCTTTTTTTTTTTTTTTTTTTAATACCTCCAAACTATTCTCTCACCTTTCTTGGCTGCAAGAAATAGTCTGGCCCCATGATAGTTTTCTAGATAGGCTGGTGAAATACCTCTGTGAAATTATGCTTTGATAGGTAGAATTTAAACTTATGCTCTAACTTTGTACTGAAGATGCCTCCACACCTCTAGTCTCTCCATTATCTAATGTGCTCTGAAAGTTTTTTAGTAGAGTGTAAGCTTAAATTATTATCGCCCATTATACATCTCTGTAAATATATTAGGTGGTTAACTCAATAAATGGCTTCATGAGACCTTTTGAGTACTTGTCATTGGGTAGACATTTGCAACATTTTCATGTTAAATGTTTACCACCAGGCTCCTTTCCTCACTTTCTCCATAAAGCAAGGGTATCAATCCAGGGGCGTTGGCTAGCATTCGATGTCAGTCATTATATTCTTGCTGTCACCTTATCCTGGCAGAAGTGTTGAGGGGTCTCCAACCATTTTTCTTATCCTCACCAGTGGTGAAATGTCCCCAGTGCTGGAAGCTGTGTTCTCTACACCAGGCTGGGGGAGGGCGAGGCTTATCTCCAGAGCTGTGTGGATCTCCTTGGGCGGAGCTGGCTTTGGATGAGGGAAAGGCACTTTAGAAATCTGGAGAGGAATTATTGTTGTGGCCTGCCCCTTTTGGTACGTGCCAGCGTTTTAAGATTTCTTATTATTCACCGTGACTCCAACAAAAACCCATAGTTAGAATTATAATTTGTAAATTAAAATTAGAGGGGCTTTCCATTGTGTTTGAATAAAGGATGTGTGAACAAGGCAAAAAAAATTGAGTTCCCTTTGATGTGGGTTTCTTTGGGTAGATAAGTTCTCTTGAGGCCTATGAGTCAGGTTCTAGGAATTCTTGCTCGACTCCACCTTTGACAGAAGAACTGGCAGTGATCAGATGGTACCGGCTGGGCTCTGATCTGTTTCCTTAAAAGGTTGATTCAGTTCAGTTTGTATCGAAAGAGCACTGGGGAAGGTATCATTTCAAAAATGCCTCTGTATTTCATAAGAACACAACTTCTGATGGCCTTTAATAAGAGCACCTAGATAACTTTTGAGTAAAATGGATTGTGTTCTTTTGAAAAGTTGAAACCTGTCCTATTGTTGGGTTCATTATTCTGAGTTCACATCTTTTATTCTAGGAAATTCCAGAATGGGATCCCAAATTTGGCTTTGCACCATCCTTAACGTTCTGAGTTATGAATTGTTTCTGGTTTGGAGATTTTTTTCCATGGTGATATTTGAAAAGCACATTTCTGAGGGCAGAAATTTTGCTTTTTACTTTCAGAAGGGGGTTGTTTCGTTGTTTTGTGTCTTGGAGGGTTTCCCCCTGTTATTCTAAAATAAGTAGTAAAATCTACTTTCACTTAGCTTTGATTGAAGCTATTCAGTCAATTCAGCGCGTCAATAAGTATTTTGACCAGTAAGTTTTCACTGCTGCACAGAAACAGACAGGCCAAGAATTCAGTTGAACTGTCTTGATTGTGAGCCCATGTGAACCACTGTCTCTTAGACGTTGTGCACGTCTGCGAGAGTTGCTCACCTCCATGGCAACAAGAATAAACCTGATTTACCATAAAGCACATCTGTTTATTTTATGTTGTTCCCAGGTATGTTGGCATTTGTGGTCACACGGAATACCCCTGCCGCTTCCAGAATCCTTCTGCTACCACCCAGGAAATTATTCCTCATCGGGTCTTTGCCCCAGTGTGCCTCCAGGGTGCTTGTCAAGAGACCCTTCTGCAGCTGGTCCCCCCGTGCCTCTCAGCAGCACACTCCATCCTGGGAACACACCCATTCGCCAGGCTGGACATCCTCATCGTTCCTGCCAACTTCCCGAGTCTGGGGATGGCCAGGTATGTTGTGCCATGGTGGCACTTGGATTACATGCTTTGGAATGACTTTGACGATTTCTTGCTTTTCCTGAGCACTGTCAGAGCTGCCATTTGATTAGGATGGTCATGCTTGGACCTCTCATTGCTGCCTTGAGGGAGAGTTCGCATGTAGATTCCACCACGCGGGAGGGAGCCTTTAGGTGTCGTGGACTCAATCAACTGCCTTGAAAATAAAAAGCTCACGTTGTTGCTCGGATTGAAAACACATTGTGCCCCCAGAGTGATGTGTATGTTGGATCGTGGCTGATGAGTGGCTGGTTAGCTTAGGTGGTGAGAGCACAATGCTAATGAGCCCAAGGTCATAGCTCTGGGCAGAGTAACACAACTTAGTTCCAGGGCCACAGGCTGCTCACCTAATCCTGACCAGCTGTCTCATCCATTCTCGACATTGGTCACAAGGGCAAACGACTCGAGAGCCCCTGTGTCAGAGAGACTGTGGATGGATCAGTGTAAATCCATCACCGCTGCTGGAAAAACAGCTCAAAGCAGATGGCTTACTGGGGCGGGGGTGGGGGGGAGTCACTTGTCTTGCTACTATTTTTAAATATAATAAATGCATTATTCTTACTGTTTTCTCAGTTTTGTTCTTATGGAAAATCAAGACACACAAGTTGAACCTTTCCCTTTCTGTTATTTTCATCTAAAACTCATTCCTTGATGCTATCGTTCATTCAGTAATAGGTACCTGAGTTTCCCTCAGCATTTTACTTGTTACGCACTCCGGATTTTACTTGGTTATATTTCTGTTTGAAAATCTTAATCATTAACAGTGAATATGCTTGACTAAGGATAGGAAGAATAAGCTCATCAAAACACGTGACTTTAAGTTTTTCCCTATTAGTCAAGGAAATTCCTGCTGCCAGTTAATTTCCATGCTTTGGAGCAGCTGTTGTTTGTGGTGTTTTCCCTGAAAACTGCATGCATTCTGAGTCGAAAAGAACTGACCAGAACATTTGCTTTTGATCTTTACTACATACGTATACTTTTTAAAGCTGGCTGGCTATTCTTAATCCTTGAGGAGGTCTGAGAAAGTCATTTAGGCTGATTTTTTATCCTGTATTTATGAAGATAATGGGAATGTAGAAACTAGGGTAATTGTCTATATTTGGTAATATGCATCAATATTGTTTGGGATGTCTATATATAGAATTAGTCTTAACAAGGGGGTTTCTTCGGTCCCTTTGAAGAGTCTGCTGGACTTAATTTAAGCAGAATTGTTGGCGAAGAAAGGGTTGTTCATTAAATGTTTCTCATTTGTACCCAGTTTTGAGGGGCTGTATTTATTTGGGAGTCTTTAGCACTTTATGAGAGTTGCAGTTTTTCAGGGCATGTTTGCTAACAGTTCCAAGTTCTGACCTGAGGGAACCAGAGGCTGAGTATTTTTCATACAGAGGACCTCATTTTCTGTAGCTCCTTCCTGACAGCAGTCTGCCAAAACCAGAATTTGTTGACCTGCAGGCCATTCTGTGAAGCCTCTCTTTGCAAGTTTGCATGCCCAAGCAGGTAGGCAGTGGGTTTGCTGCTTTTTGAGATATTTAAAGTGACTTAAACATGCTTAACTCTGTATTTTGAAAGTAAGAAGCCTAAGAACCCTAAGACCAAATGGTACTGGGCACAAATGTCAGAAAATGTGGTGATAATAACTCAGCAGCAACAAGACTGCTTTTATGCTTAAAAACAGAAGAACCATACATTTAAAAATTTGTGGTTGGTTGTCAAATACCATTTTTCCCCATTTTTTTCTTTCTTTTTAGACGGTGAAGTAGTCTGCCCTGGTCTAGATGTTTTCCTGAGCTTAGTTAACTGTTCCCCGTATTTGAGATGCAGAGGGGGGATTATGGTATCTTCCACTGCCAGTTGGGGGTTGGGGGGAGCACTGTGTTTTTCCTAACTCTGACCTAAATTGATTCCACTTGCTTGGCTTGACTCTCGTGGGATCCCAACACCTTGAGCCACATGCGACTGAGTGGGGTTTATGACTCAGCTGGCTCCCGGGGCCCTGCTGCCTTATTTATGGTCAGGGCTTTGCTTGGGGCTCTGTAAAAGCAAAGCTGGAACAAAAAATGACAGTCTTGTAGGTCAGCTCTGTACCCTAAACGGGAACAGAGAAATCCTAAGTCTAGTAGGAACCATCCCAAAAGACCTCTGTACTGAAACTTGTCATTGTCTTGTTCATTGTAATGCACTAAAGATCAAAGGATTTCTTGGTAGATTAAATGGTTCTTTGCTGAGTCCACATTTTATAAACATGTATGCGAGATCATAAATTCCATACCTCTGGACTTCTTTAGTGATTAGGTCCTAATCATAATGAATACCATTTTATACCATTGTAGTATTCTTTTTTTGGTGAATGGCATTAAACATTCCCACATGAACTAAAGTGGGTAAATTGTTAGTAACCATTTTGAAGAGTTTTAAAAAATTTTTGGATGACATCCGTAAAGATTTCACTGTATTTGAAATACTACATATCATAGTTTGTATGGATAATCTTAAAACTCTCCTCTCTCTTTGGAGCCCGATTCTGCTATTTCAATGAAGTGGGGAGAAACACACTTGTATAATTTGAATGTATGATAATTACAGATCAGCTTATCAGAAGGTAAATGACACAAAGACAACGTTTTAGTACTTGGAATGCTTTTCCAACATAGCAATAACTAGACCATCTATCAAGACTGCACATCATGGTTTTTGGTCACCTTTTGTCTAAGAGGAACCCCCCCGTCCTTTTCTCAATCACTGTTCCAGGGGAGAGATGCTTTCATTCTGTTCCGATTCTGAGAAAAATCCCTAGTTTGCCTTTAAGACACTATTGACTAGTTCTAGTCCATAATTTTCTCATTCAGTGCGTGTAGGCTTTCTGTTTTTGTTTCATTTTGCTTGTCCTTCCATAGAGGCCGAGTCTGCCATATAAGGAACTGTGAAGTGTACCTTTCTTGGATTGAGTAATATGGTGTCTAGCCAAAGATATGAATGCATTTTAAGTGAATCTCCAACGTATAGACACACTCTCTTCATGTTGGCATAATTAGCATTCTGCCATTTTCATTGTGTTCTCATATTTTCTCAGGTGTCTCAGCTAGGGTTGGACTAGTAAGCCTCATTTCCCAGGTATTGAGAAATACATGAAAGGAGCTCATCATCATGCTTACACTCTTTGTTATAATAATAATAATGTTAATGAAATAATATCCTGGAACCAGATTTATGACAGTTGCTTAAAAATTAACACCTCAGTCTTACCTCTGTCGGTGTTTATAATAAATGCTTTGCTTCACCATTTGTCTTTCAGCAGCTCACAATTACATGTCACGGGGCATAATTAGGTTGGCAGAACTACCTTGCTGACATCCAAATACATTCTTTTTTTTTTTCTCCTCTATTTGAATTTCAAGAATCTCCTGCAAATCATTTCAGAGCGGTTTTATAGTCTAGAGCACAGAATAAAAAAAGCTGTGTTTTCTGTGACTCTACTTCCCAGCTCTACCATTCACAGGTAGCTTCACCCCTGGTTCCACTTGGAAAATTGGCAAAAAAAAAAAAGTGGCAGTGTGGTTGACATTAGGTGACAATTCTGCTTTCACTTGTTTTTCCACTGGTTTTGTCCCAGATTGTTTTGTTTATCTGTACATTGTTTGTTTATTTATTCATCTATTCATCTTTCCAGTAAGTTTCTATTAAGCACATGCTGTGTGCCAGGTAGGATTTAAGATGCTGAGTCTACAGGGGTGAACAAGATTGACGCGGTCTCTGTCATCACGGAACTTACATTCTAGTCAGGGGGGAGGACTGTGTACTTAAAAACCAGGACTAAGATGTATGCTACGAACAATAAGAACCAACTCAGTGACAGAGTGATCGTTAGGGTCTGAGGTGGGGGGGGGGCGGCAAAGTTTTCTTCTTCTTTTTTTTTTTTTTAAGATTTTATTTATTTATTTGACAGAGAGAGAGAGAGACAGTGAGAGAGGGAACACAAGCAGGGGGAGTGGTAAAAGGAGAAGCAGGCTTCCTGCGGAGCAGGGAGCCCAATGCGGGGCTCGATCCCAGGACCCTGGGATCATGACCTGAGCTGAAGGCAGATGCTTAATGACTGAGCCACCCAGGCGCCCTGGCAAAGTCTTCTTTAAAGAGAGGCAGGTGCCATGAGACTGAAGAACAGAAAGGAGCCAGCCTCGTGAACAGTCTGGGAGAAAAGCAACCCAGGCTGAGGGAGTTCAGGTCCAAAGGCCCCAAGGTGGGAACCACTGAGATGGGCTGGAGGAGCAGAAAGAAGGCGTGTGGCTGGAGGGCAATGAGCTTTTAGAGTGGCTTTTCTTAGTTCCCTCCTTACACTCATTTTGGGTGCCAGGAGGTCCCATGGTCCCTCAGGTCTTGGGTCACCGAGCCACCTGTGCACCAGTATGAGGAGAGCTAGGAAGAGCCACCAAGAAATGGCAGAGGTTGAGGGGGGATTGGTGGTTCTGGGCCATCAGGAGTTATAGGGAGAGAGTTGCAAGAGAGGTCATCTTTTCTTGGTTTTATGAGAACCAGCAGTGCCCTACCGTCTTGGGAATGGCTAGTTAGAATCTGACTCGGCTTAGCAACTGCTGTCCTTGAGCAGAATTCGCCACTGTGGGGGCATCAGAGCTCCTGGCGCAAGGCCGGGCAACTCTCCCTTTGTGGAGCAGGGAGAAAGCAGTCCCAGGGCACCACGTTTCCCTTCCCCGCTGGCTGCTGGTGGATTCCTTCCCAGCTTTTTTGACACGTGAGGTCACAGGGAGGGAGGCAGTGTCTTTATGTTTGCTCATCCCAATTTTTAAGTTTCTCAAAGACTGAACAAAAATAGGATTGATAGAGAGCAGAGAGAAATAATCATCAATTACTTAAATATCTTCAGTGTGCTTTGCAGCCGGAGAAAGACTGTAAAGCTCCCTATTATACATGGCTTGTTCTAAAAGATGTGATTGTGCAATAAA